ATGTGTGTGTGTGTGATAATGTGTATAAACCACTATGTGTAGAGCCTGGCACATAAGTTCTCAATAAATTGTTGCTATTGTTAATAATAGTATTATAGGACTAGGGACATGACTGTGTTGGTAGAGTGCTTGTATAAAGCTCCGGATTCAATCCCCAGCAGCACATACTAGCATAAGCCAATAACCCTGCTACATGAGACCCTGTCTCAAAAAGAAAATATTACTATAACATTGGGATATTGGAACTCAATATCCTCATTGTGTGGCCCCATGCCTTACTCTTACCTCAAGTGCTCTAAAACAGGGCTCCAGGGCTATGGCTCCTTTCTTCTGCTTTTGTGCTTGAGCAGGGCTTTGTTGTTTTCAAGGTTAAGGGCTTGTATTTAAAATCTATGAATCCGGTAAATACAAGAGGTGGAGGTAGCGCCAAAGCGTGAGTGCTGAGCAGGCTGTGTATTAACTGGAGTGGAGATGGCGAGCATCAGTCAAGGCCTGTCATTAATCCACAATCAAGAACTAACTTCGATACTTTGAGCTGCAAGTAAAGAACCCCAGGGGGGGCCTAAGCAATCGATAGAATGTACTATCTCATATCACAAGATATCTGGAGGTAGTAAGTCCAGCTGTGTTCATTCAGTAACTCCAGGAAACTGTCCAGAGCCCCTTCCTCATATCTGTCAAGCCTGTGTGTGCAGGTTCTTACTTTATCCTCCATGGTCTCCTCCCATGTCCCACCCTGAGAAAAGCCAACGTCCGAGCAGTAAAGTGACCATTTGTGATTTAGGCCACTCTAGGACCAGAGAAGGCCTGGCCACCCCTGGAGCATACAACTCCTCAACACCTGAATATAACTGGTATCTAGGAAGGGAGACAATGCAGTTACACACATCAACAGTGCCTGGCTCTGCCATATGGGTATGTAAGGATTCCTGAGCTATATTTTTAAGATCCAATCTTAAATGAATATGCAGATCTTCCCATTAATCACATAAAAGTATCAGCTTTGAAGTCTATCACCTGGAAACAGCATACCAAAGCCAGGGCAGTGGTGTTTCCTGCCATTTTTAGAACTAGGGGTGTGATTTACAAGTGAATAGCCTAGCTGCAGAAAGAGTGCTCTTACAATTGAAAGCTTGGAGTCAGCACTTGGCATGGGGTATATTTTGTGTGATGCTAGCAGATCTTAGGACAGAAGCTTCTGGGCAGTCAGAGCCACATAAAATAAAGTGGTGGAGCCTAGAGGGTAATCCTGGGGTTGTGTCTGTGGCACAAGCCTACCATTGGGTGGTTTAGTGAACCTTAGACCAAATACCAGAATGCAAAGATCTAGGGAGATGGGCATGTGAAAGAGAGCAATTCTAGAGAGAAAGTTCATTCTAAGACATCCTTTACAGATGCACACATCCCCATAATGTGGAGAACCAGATTCTCCGTCTTGGCCTTCCAATACTGGTTCATGCTCAGAAGGAAAGATGTCAGGTGTACAGGAGCACAGTCTGCTATGAATGGCCATGTGGATGCCAGTGCCCCATGTGGGAAGACTGTGAGTCACAGAGCCAAATGGCCTGGGGCCATTACCATGCCTTGTCTATAGTCCTTCCTCTAGCCTCTGAATGTTTTTGACACATTTCCAGGCTGGTGAACAAACTGAGACTAGCTTCTGGAATGAAAACCCTCTCTGCACACCTGATTCTACTGCAGTGTTGGTCAGGTAGCAAGTCTGTACAAGAAACAAAGCTAGGTTAAGCACTAGGGCAAAACAACTGGGGTGAGGCCACTGGGGAGAGGTAGCCTGAAATATTGGTCCATGTTTGCATGTGAGAGGCAGTGGGGCCAGGGTGAGACGTGCGCTTCTAGGGAGCTGTGTGTGAACAGCATAGTTCATTCACTCTCCACGGCCACGTCTCACCCCACCAATAGAGCAGAATCTCAGGAAGAGGGCAGAGCAGGGTTGAAACTCGTACCTCCACATTCTTAGAAAGAGTTACTCTATGAATTTTCTTCAGATAGCCCTTTGGAGAATATCATCCAAGGACTGACTGCCCCATTTACCTCTGCCCTCCCTCTAGACACTCTCATTTACGGATACAAACCGATTGATAGACAGGTTCCTCTCTGCAATTTCTGAGTGAGAACCAAAGCCAGGCACTGGTGGGATTCCCAGGTCTGGTGGTCTCTTGCCCAGTCCTTCTTTGCACCCTTGGATTTGGGTTTCTAATACTCACAACCCCTGATCATCAGTTTCATATTAAGAGGTCTTTTAATATTATAAGAACTTGGGAAACAATTAAACAAGAGATGAGGGAAAACTGTTGGTAGAACAAATAACTGACAATTATTGAAGTACTGAATCCTGTGAAACAGAGAACAAGGGAGGGTTTTCATCAGAAAGCATGCTGTTAGAAAACATTTTGAAATCCACATGTTCTCCGAGTCAGGGAAACTTCAGCATCTGGGTTTCCAGCCATTCCACATGGAGCCCTAGCACTTGGACAAGTTACCTGGACTCCTTGAGCCCTGCTTTCTCATCTGTAAAATGAGGAGAACACTAGCTTGGGATTATTCTGCACACCAAGAGTGTAATTCATTCTCCTCACTTAAACTTGCTAAGGAAAAATGGGGCAGGACAGAATAAGTCTCACTGAGTCTCTGAGAATGATGCCACATGGCAACTAACCCAATACCAAAGCAGAATTCCCTGGATAGTTTGGTAGTCCACTTGCCCATCCCTCAAGTCCACAGCCCCCAAACCCATAGAAGAGGAGCCAGCCAAGACAGGCTTGTCCCGATTTTCCTTGCTTCCTAAACAAAGAACAGAACAAGCACAGCTGGGTCGTCTAAACTGCATCACTTGGCCAGAGTCCTGGGGGTAATCTCTAATTTAAGGTCAGCCTCAGTACAGCCCAGTTAATCCCTCATTAGTTGTGTTTCTTTGGGCAAGAGCTTTACTGACTCTAAGACTTACTCAGATGGTAGGACAAGACTGCTGTGATGCAGGCAGTCACTGAGATAGAATGTGTACAGTATTCATATGTGCCCAGAATACAGCAAGCATTCCACATGTAGCCACAATGACTGGGTCTCTGAAAGATACAGACTTAGCAATTACTTTATCAATCTAGTCTGAGTACAAGTTGGGCATCCCTTGCCTAAAAATATGAAATCCAAAGTGCTCTAAAATCTGGCATATTTTTCATACTGGCAGAGTGATGTGAATAGAAAATTCTCCACCTGGCAACATGTGACAGGTTGCAATCAAAACACAAGCAAACCAAAATACTGCATAAAATTACCTTCAGGCTATGTGTACAGAGTATATACAAAACATAAATGAATTTCCAATTGAACTTGGAAAGACATAATGTATATGCAAATATTCCAATTTTTTAAAAATCCAAGATCCATAACACTTCTGGTTTTAACCATTTCATGTAAAGGATGCTCAACCTGTAATAGTATGCATTTTTAAGATAACACAGCTGTATGTACTAGAAAATACTCTAATACATTTACACCACCTTTAAAATGACCATGTACCCTATAAAATAGTGAGTTTTGGTGACACAGACAGCAAATGGGGTTTGCAGGTGGGATGTTCCATCTTTTCTCTACACCTCACGCCCCAATGGCAGAAGCCAGCACTGTGTAGAGAGAGTCATCAGTATCATGACAAGTGATGCTCCACCTGGTCAGAGCCCCAGGATCCAGCATTCTTGGAGTCACTTCCTGAAGGCTCTGAGGTGAGGAAACTTGTCCTATGTTAGCGGCCTCCCCCCCTCAGCTTGCCTCTGTCTCTTCCCTGCAGGCAGTAAAGCGATTCCTGAAGCAAGAGTGCAAGTGTCATGGCGTGAGTGGCTCCTGTACTCTGAGGACATGCTGGCTGGCCATGGCCGACTTCAGGAAAACAGGCGATTATCTCTGGAGGAAGTACAACGGGGCCATCCAGGTTGTCATGAACCAGGATGGCACAGGCTTCACTGTGGCAAATAAGAGATTTAAGAAGCCAACGAAAAATGACCTCGTGTATTTTGAGAACTCTCCAGACTACTGTATCAGGGACCGAGAGGCAGGTAAGTTCAAAAGAATTCCTTCAGTGACCAATAATCTACAATTTAAGTGAGTTTCTGTATTTTTCAGCAGGCCCCTTGTATAATTGCAGCCTGCTGCCTTCAGGTTCCAGGCTCATGTTCTTTCTAATTCATGTTGAAACTGCACAGAAAGGTCTCTGGAGCAGCTGGAGAAACAGGTTGATAATGTGCAGATTCTGGAGAAATGGGAACCAACAAGAATGTACATGGCAAAGAGTCAAAACATGCAGATTAGCAAAAATTCTTCTGCCTGCTCAGAATTCTAGTCAGGGACCGAATAAGCACCATGTGCAGTCGCCCAGCATCTTTTCTGTGATCCTGAGCTGAGAAAGGACAGTTTGCAATGATCTTCCCCCATGATAAATCCCTCCACTGTCTATCTGAAACAGTCCCAGAACTTGAAATTTAGCCTCTTCCGAAATCTGCCCTTCTTCACCTCCCCTTGCTCTTTTCACTGTGGTTACAATTTCCAAACACTAAAAAGCAAGAGTGGATCCCCAGTCTTCAGGCCATAGGTGGGCTGTGTATAAAAGGTATATGTAAGAGGCACCTCATTTATTAAAACCATTCCCTCTCGCCCAGGCAACACCTTTTCCATCTTGAACTCAAAGAATGACTCTGTCAGCTTCAACATAGCAGCTGTCCCCAAGTGTCTGCTTTTATAGATATGTGTTCTCCACTTCTCCCCGTCCCAGTCAGTACTGGACTGCAGGCTTAGCTCCTTCTTTGCAAAGACTCTAGGGCAAAATAAAAGAATAAGTAGAAAAGTCTAAGTCAACAGAAGGTGATGGGAGCCCACAGCCCACTTTGGCTCAAGTCAGTTGCTTAGTGGGAAGCAATAGAATTTACTATCAGAAAAATAAATCCTTCAATTTAAATTCTGAGTTTGTTTTTCATTCCAAAATAATTGCAAACGAGCCAGTAAAACAGAGCAGATGCAACCAGCTGCTAAAGCTAGATTAACTGATAGGCAAGATTACCAGGAAGCATCGCAAGACGACTAAGCCAGTCTCTCGCCCTTGAGTGGTTGAAGTTCCTTTGGAGTTTGATGAGTTAGCTCTCTGCAGCCTGGGAGCAGGTTTGTACACGCAGTCTGTGAGTTCATGACTGCTGAGCGCAAGGACCTGATGCTGCGCCCCTCTGCATTCTTGTCATGCTTTGGGACGACTAACAAGTCATCCTACCTGTCAGACAACAGTCTCTGGAATCACAGGGAAACCTGTGCTGTGATACAGAATCACCCAGGGAACTTTCTTTCTGCCCTTAACTAGCTGTTTGACTCCACTCAGATCATGGGGATGGTATCCCCTCGATCATTTTAGGTCCCACAAATGGATACTTGTTTGCTGAACATGGTCCTGACATGATTGTGTACCTCCTTGGTCTTGCTGAATCTGGGGAGCAGCCTCAATATATCAGTACATTGTAGTTACCAGAGGGAAAAAAAGAATAACAAGGATAATGGGAGAGATGCTCCTGAAAGATCAACACCAACCAACTCACAGCTTAGTTTGTGGAATCAGATGAGCAGTCCTAGGTTTCACTTTTCCTATTGGACTGTTAAGAAAATTGGACATGCTGTTCCCATGTCATGCATAAGAGAGAATACATGTCTGGTCCCCCATGCCCATCCGTGCATGGCTTGAGTTTGATTTCAAAAGAACACATTTGCTTCACCCATCTCCTCCTAGGCGTGAATGTGAAAAGATCTTGTGAAACAAAAACATGTCAGAGCTCAGAAAACCTGTTTCCCAGTATGCGTTTTCTGGCTCTTTGGGTTAAAGCCATTAACACAGTTAAATCAAACAGTTATATCTGCTGAATACTTTCTGCCTCATGGATATCAGGGAACTAAAGACCATACTTGCCTTGACAAACAGGAATTCTGAATCAAATCCCTGCTACCTCTTTAAGTTACTAAACCATTCTCACACACGTTGCCCTTCCTGTTGGTTGTATTAGAATGAAAGCCCATTTCTCGACTGTAGAATTGCAGCTTTATCTGCAATGTGCCCACCACATGCCAAGGCTCAGTCTGTACTTTCTCACTGATTCTGACAGGAAGTTTCTTGTTTTATGGGAATAGAAACCAAAGCTCTGGGAGGTTAAGAATTCTGTGGGACTGTCTGTCCTTTTGACCATTTTATTCTGCTGTTAGCTGTGCTAGACACAGGCACACAGTTATCTCAAGTATGTAGAATTGATACCCATTTTAGCAGAGCCTGGGAACATGACAAAGTCACCCAGGTAGATTTATTAAAAAATAGTTTTGTAGCTGAGTGTGGTAGCACACACCTTTAATCCAAGCACTGGGGAAGCAGAGGTAGGCAGATCTGTGTGAGATGGAGGCCAGTCTGGTCTACATATCAAATTCCAGGCCAGCTGGGGCTACAGGAAGATCTTGCCTCAAAAAGACCAAAACAAATCAAAACAAAACAAAACACAAAGAAAAACTTTGGATCGTTCATATTTGGAGTCATATGCAAATAGCCACTTAATATTCAACTTAGTGGATGGCCAGCTTCTCCTTTCTCCTTGCCAGGATTAGAAGGGCAGGAGTGGAGAGCAGGCAGGACATTGGCAGGTGGTTGATGTTAGATACTGAGCTTTGCTTTGCTCTTGCTGGTCAGCAACTGCTTCTTGTACAGAGTCACTGGTGGGTGCAAAGATGTGAACTGGCCAGTTTTGTCAGTTTGGTTTGTGCAGTGGCTACATCTACAGATCTCCTTCATTATTCCCCATAGTGGAGGCCTCCTCAGAGACCTGGCCAGGGGATTCCCAATACTTTTCAGACTAGAACACTTTAAACTTTGAAAAACCAATTGATGTAGGTGAGCCATGGTCCTATTTCAGCCAAATTATTAGCGATAAAGAAATCCAGGGACACATTCTTCTTAGAGTCCCTGGTCCTTACAAAGGGAGAAAGGAGTTCTTATTTGAAGAGCTCTAAACAAATGTCACTCAAAAAAAAAAAAAAATGCCCCCCT